TGTCTCGTGGTTGACAGGGTGGCAAAGAAGGAGCTCCTCTTCAATAGACTGCTGGATTGCCAAGGACAACATTTCACAGACATTAATACTTGTAGACTATGATTATATCAATCTGCTTGGGCTTTGCAAACAAGCAGCCTACAGTAAAACAAATGCATGAGAAGAAGGAGTGATGTGTTGTTGTTTTTTACGTTATTCTGGTTTAAATTTCAAACAGCAAATGTTCATGGCCATTGCATTCACAAAAAAAGACACCTTATCTCGTAATTACGAGATCAGGATGTTGTAATTACGATGTGGTAATTATAGGCTCTTTTCTCATCACGAGACGCAAGCATAAACGAGGCTGAAGTTTGCTTCCGATTCACAGCTTCCGATTCACGAACGGCATAAACGACAATTTCACTGAATTTTTCACATTCTGATCACTCAAAACCGGGTCCTTCATGGAAACTACAGTAGCTACGCCTCTCAATATCGATGGAAATATTATAACTAGGCTGTAGTTTCATTAAAAGCTTCTTAATGATAATTGTTGTTTATTGTTGATATATTATAAGATTAAAAATTGTATATTTGGCTCAGGTTTGTCTCCAGTTACAAGTCATATCATGAAAATAAATAAATCCCCTCTACTTGCATTGGTCAGACAGCCTAAAGGACTGCAAGGCTAAGACAGTGCTGAACAGTTGTTTTACAGATATTTCAGATAGTATTTATAAAGGGATGAGTACAGATGTGATACAGAGTGTGTTTGATATAAGTTTTATAATTAACTGAATAATTAAACTCATATTTGATTATTTTTCACACGGGTTCTGGATTTGGATACCCCAACCTTTAAAATATAATGTGTTAAAAAATCAGATAATGTGTTTTAAAATCTTTTTACCCTATTTAGAATTATTATATCCAGATAGTAGCAGTGCAGTTACTGTAGTTTCCATACAAGATCCAGTTTAGTGTAATCATAATGCAAAAAAGAAGTAAAATGCTCCTGTTTTCCATTTTCACAGATAAAAAAAAGGTTTCAGCAAATCCCAAACAAGTTTTTAATTAATCTACAGGTTATTCAAAATGTTTCCATCAAGATTTGAGCAGTGTAGCTACTGTACTTCCTCCATAGAGGACCCAGTTGTGAGTCCTTTCAGACTGTGTCAACATTTGAGATTAGTGATGTCTTTAAACCATGTTCAATCACACAATTGAACACGCACACAAGAGTGAAAATAAGATGGTCTGGTGGTTTTCTTTAATGTCAGGTTTTTCTTTGAGAGTAGCTATTATTGTTTCAGTACCATCTTCTAAAGTTCTGCTCTTTCTGTGACAAAAGTTCTGTCATACCTCAGAAAGGTTAAATCATTTTCAACACACCTTTTGAGGTGTGCACAATGCCTCAAGGGTAACACAAGTAGCGTAGTCAGTGAAAATCCGATGCAAGCAAACAGTGTGAAAGAAAAGCAGATGGACAGAGTGAGCATGGCAGAGAAGTGAGAAAAACTGACCATGTAAAGAATCAATTATTTTCTTTTCCTTTTGCTAGCAGTGAGCGGAGCAGAATATCTTTCTGTGACTTTGCAGGCACATGATTATATTAAAAAGCTCAAAGGGAACTCAGATTAAACGAGTGTAGGAGAAACACTTCTTCCCCTTTAAAATTGGTTGAACAATTATTTTGAGAATTAATAACCAAGGCAAATCACCATGACAAGAATTCCAACAAAGGACTGGGATACAACAGCAGTGTACATGTTAAAAGAAAGAGGGAGAAAAAAAATATTTGAACCAAATGTGGGTTATGCATCACAAATGTGCAATTGTTTGTTTATTAACAAGGTATGTTTTCCTGTAGAATACAACATAGGCCTACTACAATTAAGAGAAAAGAGAAATCCATTAAAAATGGTGGACATCATACTTTGTATAATTTAAATAAATCAACAGTTGGATGCTGTTATACTGTCAAATTATCACCAAACAATGCCACTGTATAACTGTATAACATTATTCTTGGTGCAGTGAAACTTCACCAACATCAGCTCGGGTATATTAAATGTGAAAAGTACAATGTGATACCGTGTCGGCTGAGACAGTAAATAAATTGCTCATTTGTGAAAATTTGAAAATGCCAGGAATTCAGGGGAGTGTTAAACTCCTCACATAACCTTCAAAAATGGCACTCATAAACAGGGTGCTATGACTGGATTGGAACAAGCAGGGAACAGACTGAAAGAGAAATAACAAGAATTTGTCAAGTTTACCTCGATCCTCTGGAGTAATTCTCTATCAAATTCTCCTTCCACTCTGGCAAGTTTAATGCAAAATCCAATCATCAGTGTCTATTTTATATGTGAGGAACAGTGAGACGAGCGGGGGAAGGAACGGGTGCTCATTGGTGACATGGGAGGACGATAAAATTCGGGAATGCCTTGGAAAGTAATGTTCCATGCACACAAATATCAATACAGATGCTTCTTATTTAAGAGTCTGTAGAAGGGCGAAGGGTTAGTCATCCCTAGGGTCTCGGTCAGCTCCAACTCTATGCATTTTCCCCATAATCCATGTTAAAGATTAATGTTAAATCATGCCACTATGTGCATGCCATGAACTCCCAGTATGACCTTGCTTGAGGCTAAGTAGGTCTCTGCTTTACAGCTTGCGTGCATGGGCATATACAATAAACATGCAACGATGCCCACTTTAACTGCGAATGAATTCCCAGGATACACTCAGACCCGAAAACGGAGATGAAAAGGCACAAGGAAAGGTATAACTGATGTTTTCTTTCATATTTACTTGAGTACAAATGAATGCACATACAGCAAAGTAGGAAAGGCTAAACACCATACAGAGTGCTCTTTCCTGCAAGTGTAAGATTTTTAAAAATTCATCTTGAACAGAATTTCGCAGTTCTCTCATACATCCCACTAAACACACTGCAAATCAGCTCTTATCAGCAGCAATGATGCAAGACACTTTAAACTGAAGAGTGCTACTGCCAAAGTGAAATGTCTTCATCCATCAGTACTATCCATCACCCCTCTACTCCTTTGTGGAGCATTATAACAAATCTAGACAAGGAAAGAGAAGCTGTTTTATTCCTACAGTCCAGCCTGATGTTCATCTTAAACTGTGGCACATTGATAACTGCAAATAGCATTAACTCATCTAAAAAAAACTTTCACTTTTATTATATATGTGATATCATATGCATTAAAATTGTTTGCGAAAACTACAGTCAAGATGTAATTATGTCTACGGCTTTCTGGATTATCATGCACAGTCATGACCATGTTGATTAGAAGTATGTTTACAAAGGACTGGATTTAATTGAATGCTAATAGGAAGACTTAAGTTATAATTTGAATTGTTATTTGAGATGACAACATTGAGTATTTATCTACAGAATATGTTTGTGTTCCTCTTTGTCGCACATCGAATCTCACACTGATATTGACAAAGCACGGTGGATAAAAACAGCTCTGCTCTTAGCCAAAAAAGTCAATACGAAGAAATTAGGACAGTCAACAAAAACAACAAACTCTGGAATGCCAGGTTGGAAGGACTTTATAACAGCACAAAGCAGAATGTACTTCACAACCCGCGTTATACTGCAGGTATGTGATAACATCAATATTTATAGTAAGGTCTCAAGACATTGTTTGTCATATGCATCAGATCCCAGGATGATTCCCAATCCCTCATTGCTTTTTAATAGATTGCACTGACAATGAGGGGGCAGACAGGTGGCAGCAGGCCAGGCGATGACCCTGCACTGATGGATGTGGCAGCCATCGCCGTGCCTGCCTGCATTATACCAACCAATGTCAGCGCTTCCCCCATACCACTCGGGACAATAGAGTTTGATTAGCTGACAAAACTAAATGAACATTAATTTTGGAAATTAACATGACCAACTGAGCCTGATTTTAACATTACAGGAATCATGCACTTTCACTGTATAACTACATTACATGATTACACTTCAAGTTGAGGTCACACTTAAAAAAAAAAATTATATCAAAGGACTTTTTATTCATTGGAGAAATCTGAATAGTTTCACATAAATAATGAAAGTATCAAACATTTATTTCTCTCTCTTTGATCAGTCAAAATATCTCTTTTGACAGAATTCTTAAATGGACTTCAAAGAACTGAATGTGCTGAAAATATTTTATTTGAAGAAAAGCTATTGTAACTTTCCTCATGATTAATTTTCACCTAATTCATAAATGAGAGTCTCCCACTGTGTGCCAATAATTTATAAATGCATTCTCCCATTTTTCGAAGCAGTAGTTGTGAAAATAATAATGTTGATGCTGATAAGGAAGTGATTGATAAACTGCATTAATTTAAATAGTCTGGCGACTCTTTCATCATATTTGATCATTAAAGGAAGACGCTTTTTCTTGTACATAACCCTTGATGTTTCATGTAAGGCTTCAAAAGAAATCTCATAATCAGACTTCACATTAGCTTTTCATTTTTATCCTTCTTTCTCTTTTGCTGCTCTGTCAAAAAGATCTGCTTTCACATTATTTCTTTTTCAAAACTTTATTATCGTCACATGGTATTATCTAGAGCGTTTAAATAATGTTTAGCCTCCCTGGGACTGTTTCAGTATAACGGGTAGGAGACTTGATTCCCATTATACAAACATTCATTCAGATATTCTCTCCATTAATCACTGGGGGGATTGAATAATAAAAAATCCCAATTGTCTGTAGAATCAAACTTGCATCCCAATATTTCTTTCACACAAGAAGGAGATATGGAAACTTAAATTTAAATAAAGAACAATGTGGTGAATTTGCTTACTTAAAACTAGCATTTTATTCACAGCAGAACAGAGATTGTCAGATCGCTTTTGTGTTGTGGACTACATTTCCCACAAGTTAGAGACCACTAATGATTCCCATAAGCCTTTGCGTTGTACAGAGGTAAGAAGGTCGCACTGTTACCGCTCCATTCCGAAACAGTAAAGAGACCATACAGTCATCATGCTGGGACAAGCCGTAAGACGATTCGCAACATCTGCAGTTCGTTCTTCACATTATTCTGAGGGACCAGGGAAGGTGAGATTATGTCCTCTTAAAATGAGCTGTCCTTTCAAATGTGCTATTTGTCTTCGTGGCCTGGTCGTTTTAACAGCCTGGTCTTAGCTAACGTCAGTTGGAGGTCATGTTGGATATTTAGCAAGAACGTGACAATAACTCTCATAACTATCCTATCGGTATGAAACTGTGTCAATTATTACAACAGTTAAGTTGTAGATGGACCTATGATAAAAACTAGTAATCGTCATTAAATTAACATAAGGACGTGTGTGTTAGCTTTAGCTTAGCAAATGCGTGGCTAACAACGTCATCACAACCAGTGAAGTAAAGCAGTGGCTATCCAGAAAACTTTCACTTTACGCAAATCTACTGACAGTATATGTAATACACTCTTTATAATATGAATGGAAAATTACAGTTTATCCACTAAAATCGGTTGCAACTTATTTAACTAACCTGTCTGATACTTCCGGCTAAGAGCTCCTACTTAAGGTCATAGCTAAATGATATCCGGGTGCAACCAATAAAGAGGAACTCTTCACTTTTTTATACATATGAATATTCAAGCAAACCCATTTCCACTTGAAGTAAAACATGTTTCTGGATATTTCTCATTTCATTGTAGAACTCGTACTTTTTTATCAGTGTGTAAAATCTGAAATTTCCCATCTTAGGATCAGTAAAATATCGCTTAATTTACAATCAGGACTAAATTACGTGATCATTCGAAATGAACTCACTAAATGTTTTTGTACATATTTTTTGCAAATCGATGTTAACGATGAGAAAACACAATCGGTATCCTTTATGCTTATGTTTCTAAATGTTCTAAATACTCCCTGAGAGTCCCAGCCTGCCTTCTTCCACAGACGATGATTCAACTTGCACAAAGGGCAAAGAGCTGTTGGTAGTGGACCTTGTTGGTTAAGCAATGAGGCAGTTTTTTGTTTTGATTTTGTTCAGTTCTTTTATGAAAATTAAACTCTTGAAGATTGTAGAGTGTATAGAAACATGCCTGTTTAAATAGCATTAACGAAGATGAGTTTTCTGTCTGTTTTTGGTTTATCAGCTGGCATCCCTTTCATTTGCCAAAGTTTTTGAGATCAGGGTTTTGGAACTCTTTGCAGCATAGCAAGAAGGCGAAGAGTGCAACAGCTTATAGGTCACTCGCATCTGTAAAATGTTTTTGTTTTTTTTGTCAGTCTCTTTGAACACAGCTTTGCACTAAGTGGTTACGGAAATGTGTCATTCGGATCTAGGTGCACGCTGCTCGAGGTTCTTGCTGTAATGACTGTTTTACTGTTGAGAAATGTACTCACCTCACAATTTATTTTTAATCTAATGTACAGTTGTTCAAATTTGTGACATTTTACCTGGCCTTTGATTCTTGTATAATTGCTTTTATGGAAAGTTTGTCAAGCACTTTGACATAATAAAGCTAGAGCCAGCTTTGAATCCGGTTGTCTGTGATCTACTGTATTCTCATCAAGTGCTTTATTTCCAGACACAAAACGGAATCAAAGACAACATGGGTTTAATAATTTTATTGCATCCTCCCACTTTTTATAGAACCTGCCATTTTCTGTGGAGAACAAGTGGCGCCTGCTGGGCATGATGGTGGTGTTCTTTGGCAGCGGCTTTGCTTTCCCCTTCATTGTCGTCAGACATCAGATCCTAAAGAAGTGAAATGGCCCGGCGTCGTTGCTCAGCTTTAAAGGTAGCTGTACCTGTCGTCTTGATCTAGCATATCTGCTCTCATTTAAATGTCAGGATGCAGTGGCATTTCCCTCACCGTTTAGTTTGTAAATGACCACAGACAATCAGTCCACAGAACCACCCCTTTAGCCTTTTCCTCTGGCATCCCTTAAATGAATTGCCTTTATGGCTGAGAGCGACAGTAACAGATGTCATATGGGCTCGTTCTGCTGCCGTACTGTGCAGATAACCTCCCACTTTAGCAAGTTAATGTGACAGTTTATTGCAGACATAGATGTATATCAGGTTGGAGCATGTCAGAGTTGTTGTCAGATTTATCCTCACTTGTGTTTACCCTGAAATTGCTTTTCTGACATCAGATGTATGCAAGTCATCTTATCACTTTGTGCTCAATTTTTCTCTTCTTCCTGCAGGCTGTCAACTGGAACATATTTATCCACCCACGTTCTACCTGTGAAGAAGAATGAGAATCAGTTAAATTTCTTTGTAAATAAAGTCTCCTTAAATAAATGTCTTTTTGCATTTATTACTCTTCTTTATTTTGTAAGCCACTCTTGGCATTTGTCAGAAATCTGATGGAGTTTGATTCAGTTTGTGTTCCTTGAGTCTTATTTTAGTAAGATTTATACTTTATTCTTCTACATTAGTTAAGTATATAGTGTTAATAATGAGCCTAGGAAGACATTCGATTCCAGATTGAATATAGCCTACTGTGTTTTCTGTGAGTTGTCCCCATATGCAGTGATGTCTGCAGGAAACCATACTGCTCCAGATTCAGGCTTCCTGCTGCCTCATCAAGCCTTGTTCAATTGGACCGCTAAAGATTCTGGTGCTTTGCAGTTTTATGACTGAAATGATGGTTTGAATGAATTTTCAGAAAAAATAATTGTTCCCCGATAGGCCGGAAGCAAAAGAATGATGGGGAATTTAAAAGTACAGGCGGTACAGATATTATCTCTCATTCATTGCTGAGCTCTTCAGTTGGGTTTTTATATTCTAACCTTGTGTTTCTGGCTTTATTGGTGAAAGAGCAAGTTTTTTTCCCCCTTTTTTAAAGAGATTTAGTAGAGAGGATTGCAGTATCCTGTGTGCCAAAGGTATTTATTTTTTTTATTTTATTTTTAAAAAAGCAAGGGTTAGTTTTCCATTTACTTGCCTGTGTTTTTAAATGGGAATCTTATTTTATTTGACAAGAAAAGAAGAAACAGATGCAAGCCTGTTAAATGAGAACTAACCTGCCACCTGTACCTTCTTGCTTCCTGAGTGCAATAGCTTCCATATCATCCATCCTCTTAATAGATTATCTGGGTTTAATAATCAATGGAGTGATGGGAGGATGTCACATCTCTTTTTATGTGAATTTGGTCACTGAGTCAATATAGTGAACATACACATATCTAACACTGAAGGTGATGTTTGCCACAGACATTCTGCCTGGGGCCACCTCAGCTGCACTTCTCTTCACTTATTAGAAGGTTCATTCCCTCACAGCCTTTAACAACAATCCAGTTAAAGTTAAGTATGTAAAGAACCATCACAGTTACAAGTGCACTCGGCTCCTGGCACCAGCTTTATTCCGACAATTTAAAACAATTTTTTTGGAGTGCATCTCAAAGATTGCGCTGCTTGTTTGCAGAGGGAGAATGAGATTTCAAGTGCCGTCAGAGATCAGTAAGCCTCTGAAGTGATGCTTCATCCAAAGCCTGTCTTTTAAACATCAAACACTCAACTCTGGTTTGGAAGGTGGCTGAAAAAAGTCCTCTTTCCTAACATCAAGCAGCTGCAAAAAATCTAATGGTCGCCTGTTTGGGCTGTTAAAAAGGCAATCGCTTTGTCCAGTCAGTTTCATTCCGGTTTGATGCAGCGTTAAACATTTAAAAGCTCTCCTTTTGTGCTCTGAACTTTGATAGAGCTGCCAGGACCTACTTAAATTTTTACAAATGCCTCCCTTTGGTGCAACAGCATTTGGAGTGCTAATGTTTCATTGTTCCCAACATTTGAGCTATTCAGCCAGAAATAAAAAAATAAAAAAATATATAAATTAAAGACGCGTGTCTTTTTCCCCCATTGAAGGCACAAATTTAGCACGGCAGGTCTACTGGGTCTTTTAAGAGTTCCACATTATCAGGGCATCCAAGAGTAAAAAACATGCCCAGAGCAGCAAGTTTTATTACAGTCATAAATGATCCATTCTCTGCTATTATGCACTCTAAATGGAGCTTTTAGGAATCCTTGTTGATGCCAGAGTCCAATGGTGAGGAACAATTACACACCATGGTGTTATATGCACAAGCTAAAGTGCAGCACTGGCATATTCTGAAAAGAGTTCTGCTGGCGTTGGGCATCTCTGCAGAGAGGGTGTCCACAGTAGTTTACGTCACACGGTTTAGATGGACTTGCCAGGTAACATCTCCACTGAGTGGTACTTTGAAGGGATGCAGGAATGAAGTCGGGGCAGACAGAAAGAGAAAGAAAGAGAATGCAGAGGGATTATGCGCCCAGCATGCCAAGTCTCTTGCAGGGGTTTGTCATGCTGCATTCAGTTTTTAAGTGTGGCAGAGATGAAAGAGCCTGGGTGCTACTGTACATGCTCATTTTGCGGTTTCCTTGACTTAATTCCTGTATTATAACCAAACCTTGTAGTTTTCTTTCTACACTTAATATTGTCAGTTTAGACCTTCAAAGACAAAGTCCACACCAGTTCACCACAGTTCATTGCCATGTAATATCGAACTTGTAATATAAAAATGTTCGCTGTGAGTATTACAATGCAGCCAACTATAAAGCGAAGCCTGTAGAAGCCTTAATATATACAAAGCACGCAATGTATGAATCAGTGTTTTTTATTTCCATCTTTATACAACAAATTAATACAGTGTCATTGCAGATACGTAGATCATCATATTTGGAGCGTGCGCCTCTGTAGACTGTTCCACATCTCACGTGGAGAATCTAATTATACACTCATTTGCACTTCAGAGGGAAAGATAGTAAGCTTAGTTTGGTTTAAAGCTTCCACTGCTGTCTCGTGAAGAGACCAAATACTACCCTCACTTCTAACTGCAGTATTAGTCAAGTTCATGTTTTTTGCTGGTTTTACCAGGTTATATCATGATTGACAGATACAGAAAGATTTACTCAGTCTAAATGAGAGTGGGGGCCTGACATGTAGTCGCCAGGCAAAATTACCCCTCTTGATGTACTGGATGAATCCTAATCAGCACTAAGAAACGTCTTCCATCGAAGCATTTAATCATATCAGCAATCAGTCTGTTACAGTATGAGGATTCTCTCGATTCCCCCGCCATCTCATGAGCACAATGATGGAAAGAGGTGGGAGCATCCGTCTGCAGTCACTGAGCAACCCTCTGACACTCTGCTGTCACTCAGGAAAGTTTCAAGGACGGCGAGAGCTGCAGGATTTTTCTGCTAAGCCCATCCTCTCTCCCAGCCATCTCTGTTTATAGCACTCCGCCACAAAGATGCTGACTTGTGGAGAAGAAGAAAAAGCGTCAGTGCAGGAAGATGAAGTGCACACGCACCTCCCACTTCGTCAGAGTTGGGCTCCACTGCCTAAGCCAGGAACTCCACTCAATTACTCCGGGACCTCCAGTGGATGGCCGCTCATAACCGATGAATGTTTGAAGGACACTCTGTCAGCTCTGATGTGGTTGTGTGTGTTTTCACGTGCTAATGACTCAAACAAGCACAAACAAGAAGCCTAAACATTTGATGAAAGTGAGCTAAAAGATGAGAGGGATAGTGGTAAAAGTAAAAGTTTCACTGAGCTGTAAAAGCCTTAGTAAATCAAAAGGCATCACATCAGAAATGCAAGTTACTGCAAAATATTTCCATACAGGACATGCTGCACTCTTATTCATTAATGTTGCAATACCGCTGAATGCTCTCAACCATATTACCTGCCGTGACACCTGGCCTCTTTTTCCACCGGTGGCAAATGATGAAGAAAGCTTTAAAGGAGGCTGACATCCCACATGTCGCATTGGGTTTCTTTGCGCATTAAGTTTGATCTAAAGACACTGGCTACCGAGCCATGGCATTGATCCAAGCAAATGTCTAAAACCGGGGTAAATTCTACATCCTCTCCGGCCCAGTCTAGGGCACAGAAGAGTCTCTGGTTCAATAATGCAGCACTTAACGCTCCCACAGTTAACAGTATCTAGTTTGTGAAAAGGTTTTCATTCTAAAATAATCATGCTTCCTTTTTAGCCCTATGCTCTATGCTTCTGAAAGGTATTTTCCCCATGGCCAGATAATATGCAATCTTTTTTAAATATCAATGTCATTTCTCTTGATTGAAGATTGTTTATTTTCATCTTTGATCTCACTAATTAAAAAAAATGTATATCTTGAGTCATAAGCCTCAAGTATGATGTGATCAAGTGTGATGTGACTACCTTTAATTTGGATTTAAATTAGTGAAAGACCTTCAGTTTTGCTATTGAATTAATTTGGGAAATATATACAACTAAGATCAATGTGTCTAGTGCTTCCCAAAAATATAATCTATATAGTTTTGATTATTAGCTAACAAGGAATGATATTCATGACTGTATACCAACGCATGTATCCATGAGATCATGTATAACCACCACCGTTAGCACCAGAAGTTCGGCTGACAGAACAACTCAAATTTAAAGTTTTGTTTTTACTTTAATCAGATATCCCTTTAGAGTTATGATGTGATGGAAGAGGTAGAGTGGGAATAAAGTCTGATACCCTGAGACTACAGGAAGCAAAGACTGGGGAGGGAGAAAAAGATTTTCTGCAGATTATTTTGTATTGTTTTCCGCGTTGTTTTTCTAACATACTGAGGAAAAACACTTGAACCTTTTCTTAGCTACAGACCGTATCTGCTGCTCCCTGGTGTTCTCTCTCCCCTGTTACTCTCGCTAGGACGATTCAACCCAAAGCCTTTCACACGCTGACAGGCATCTGCCACAAA